TTTCTTATTCTGTGTACTTTTGTAGAGTTTGGATTGTTTACCATATGATTGTGCATTACTTTTCCCTAACATATTATTATCTATTTATCATTCATTTACCTGCTCTTTATAAGCAAGTAAAGCTGCCCTCTGCAGTGCCAGCATCTCATATGGGCACCAGTTCGAGTCCTGGCTGCTCCACTTCTGACCAAGTTCTCTGCTATGGCCTGGGAAAGCAGTGGAAGACGGCTCAAGTCCTTGGGCCCCTGTAACAGCATGGGAGACCTGGAAGAAGCTCCTGGCTCCTGGCTTCGGATCACCCCAGCTTCAGCCATTGCAGTCATTTGGGGAGTAAACCAGTAGATAGAATACATCTCTCTCTCTGCCTCTGCATCTCCATAACTCTGTCCTTCAAATAATAAATAAGTAAATCTTTAAAAAAAAAGGAAAGTAAACGGAAGTACTTTTCTTACTTAAAAAAATACATGAAAAGATGTTATCACCATTTATTCTAAAGACTTAGCTATGGGGTGTGTTGTGGCATCATAATGCCAGCATCTCATACGCACATCAGTTTGTATCTGGCTGCTCAACTAGTGATCCAGCTCCTTGCTAATGGCCTGAAAAAAGCAGTGCAAAATTACCCAGGTACTTGGGCCCATGCCACCCACGTAGAAGACCTGGCTGAAGTTCCTTGCTCTTGGCTTCTGCCTGGCCCAGTCCTGGCCACTGCAGCCATCTGGAGAGTGAACCAGCGATGGAAGATTTCTCTCCTCCTCTGTTTCTCCCCCTCTCTCTGTAACTCTGACATTCAAATAAACAAATAAACCTTTTTCTAAAAAAAAAAAAAAAAGACTTAGCAGCCAAAAACTTGATGTTGAAGTGGTATATGTTCAGTGGTAGGAAAGACAAGATGAAAATGGCTTTAGGGTTCACGTGGTAGATGCAAGGGAAATAGCCCAAAAGCTGCCCTGTTCCAGTGGAAAGACAAAAGCCCTAGTGTGCCAGGTATTCTGGGCAGAGCAAGGGTTACTGGAAATTTGAGAGAGAAGTGTTATTGGGAGACAGAAAGAAAGGGAAGGAAAACAGGGATTGGAGAAAGGAAATATCCAAAGAATTCAGTACATCAACACTTCTGATATTCCTCTACTGAGGACAGGGGCCGTAGGATGTAAGAGGGGAAATTATTTTCCAAAGGCAATAGCATCTAGCAACACAAGGTCACTATTCCAGAAACCGCAAAGCAGGGAGAACTGCACATACCACCTCTGGTCCCTTTCCCACTCTACCTATTCCAACCTCCCAATATAAAGGTGGCTTTTTTAAGCCCTTAGTTCAACATAGTTCTCAACCTTATTGTTTCAATTCTCAGCCAAGTTTCTTGGTCTAAATTTAATATATAGATTCATCCTTGGAGGATCCAAATCGAATAATAGTCTCAAAAATCTTTAGAGTTGGAAAGCACCTGAGGAGTCATCCAAACCAACCTCCACCACTACCATACTTTGATGGACAAACCAAGGCTCAGAGAGCCTAAGATACTTGATTGATAGCCCAAGTTCTTTCCATCACTGGAGTGGGATTAGCTGAACTTCTCCAAGAAAACCAGACTCTACCGCAAAAATCTAGATCCACTCTTTTGTTGTTGTTGTTGACAGGCTGAGTGGACAGTGAGAGAGAGAGAGATAGAGAGAAAGGTCTTCCTTTGCCATTGGTTCACCCTCCAATGGCCGCTGAGGCCGGCACGCTGATCCGATGGCAGGAGCCAGGTACTTATCCTGGTCTCCCATGGGGTGCAGGGCCCAAGGACTTGGGCCATCCTCCACCGCACTCCCGGGCCACAGCAGAGAGCAGGCCTGGAAGAGGGGCAACCGGGACAGAATCCAGTGCCCCGACCGGGACTAGAACCCGGTGTGCCGGCGCCGCAAGGCGGAGGATTAGCCTAGTGAGCCGCGGCGCCGACTAGATCCACTCTTGACCCCCACTGGCAATCTCAAATTCTTTGAATGGGGTTGATCATTAAGGCAAATCACATGATCCAAAAGATTTTCCCTTCCCAGCCTTTACTATACCCTCTGTCCATCAGCCACAAACAGGAGAAAAGGATGACAATCCACTGGCCACCTCTTCTACTGTCTCTCTGTAGCTAACAAGGTCAGCCACCCTGGTTCCTAGCAAAGGCCCAGGACCCAGCACAGTTCACTGGCAGCTATGTAAAGGATGGGTCACTAGAACCTATCTTGTTTATTTTCCAGTGACATTAAGAAGCACTGTCCACCATCAGCAGACAATCTGCTCATGTTTTCTAAGAGTGAGAGGCTATCATTCCTCAAATGCCTGAGCAGAATGGAAATTAGGTATGGCAATATAGGAGGCTCTCTTCATGACTAATTTGCTCACCAGCACTGTCCAACACAATACATGGCTGCTGTGGCTGCTCAAAGAACAAGTTCAGAACAACTCAGCCTGATGTTCAGAGGCCCTCTTTGCAACCTTAACCTTATTTCCACTCTTGGGTTCAGCAATCACAATATCCGTTAACCGTCCCCTGCATACTAGCACCTTCTTGCCTCCATGAAGTCATACATGTTACTCACTTGCCCAGGAAAGCCTTGCACCTCTCGTCCCCCTGCCTCTGCTCTCCAGCAATGTTGGAATGTTCTCTGCATACAGCCCTTCAATGCCCACCACAAACGTCTCTTGATGATTCTAACCCAGACCAGAAATAATCATTTAAAATCAGGAGACCTTAAAGTTGCAGGCCTCAGGAAGCAGGCTGAGCCAACACAGACAGCCATGCAGTATTAGAAGCTAGTAGCTTCCAACTTCTATTCTATACTATATTTTTACCACTCTACAAAGCTTTTTTGTACCCCTAAGACACTTTGTCTTTCTGCCTTGTAATATGGTTATTATATCCACTTTATCCACAATAGACATGGAGTCCTCTAAGATCAGGAATCTATTTTGCTCGGTCCTGTCTGCCTTCTGTCCAGTTGCTCACCATAATTCCACCACATCAACAGATGCCCCACATTTTTGCATCACAGGCCAGAGCATTTGCCTTGGCAATATCCAGAAAATAATGCAACATGCATAGGGAAATCCAAACAACATCTAAAGGGGCCCTGGGTTTTACCCTTCAAGTTCTTGGCTGTTGGGAAATACTGCAGCCACCAAAATCTTCCATTAATTGAATGGACATTAGAGTCACATTTTAGCCAATGAAAGAAAGGGTGACATTTCAATTCCCCTGCAGGGAAGTGACAGTCAATTCAAGACAGTGTGGAACTCTGATTCTACAACAACCCTAAATACAAGTGTGTAAGACACCAAAACGTAGTTTGCTTGTTTTAATTTTTATTATCACTTGTCTAAAAGGATCTTTGAGCTATCCCTGTAAAGTTCAACCCACTGGCTTCAGAGACAGGAGACTTGAGGACCTAAAGTCACAAGGCTAGTGGCTGACAGAACCTCCCAATTGCTTTGCAGTAGCTTATTTCAACACCAACAAATCAACAAATGGTTGTCACCAACCTCATCTTAACCCAGGATCAGGAAGAGCTGCAGTCTAGATGAGCACAGTGTCTCTTTTCAAAGGCAGGGGGCTTATTTTTCTGTTTCAAACATCCTGTCTTTGACTACCAGACTGCCACACACACAAACACACACACAGACACACGTCCTCTTCTTGTCAAAGCAAAGTTTCTCCAGCTGCTCACAGTGAAACAACCTGAATTTTCAAAAGCTCAGCCATGCCTCTCTGGGAGTCCAGCTGAACAATAATCCTCCAGTTAAATGTGCATTTTGGTCAACTTGGTAGTTACCCAGAGAAGCAGCTTTTGTAAGCTGCCTATATGTAACCATTTCTTGTCAAGCCTGAGTCATAAACACAGGGAGAGGGACTCACAGAATTGGTACAGTGAGGAGTCTGGACCAGAGATTCCCCAGGATCTTAGGGGCTTTTTGCTCTTAAGTAGTAGTAGTAGTAATAATAATAATAATAATAATAATCCCTGATCCCTTAATGTAGGATTCCAAATTCTCAGGGTCTGAAAAGGCCTATTAGTTACATACTACAAATCCTTACAGGAAGTCTGAGTATCCCGCATAATATAGCAACCTCTTTTCTGCTAGAGGGCTTCTAGTGACCCACACCCCACTACTCTGGGCCATTCCATTTATCACTGAACAGATGGAAGTCACAGTAAGTGTTAAGTGGGATAATTTATGCAAAGCATTCAGTAGAGCAGTTAAAAGCACTCCCCCGTCCTTATTAGAAAGCACTTTCTTATAGTAAGCGTGATTCTGCCTCCTCTAGGCTTCCACCTCGTTGAATTCCTACCCATCCTGATTCTTGTTTCTGAGGCCACACAGAACAAACATAACGCTTTGAAGATATTTGAAGAGAACACCCCTGTCTCTTTCCTTCTCTCACTCTGAGTCACTTCAAGGGCTGCCCTCCACCCAGCCATCTTCCTGCATATAGACAGCTTAAGGGTGGCCAAGCTTTTAACAAAAATCGTGACATATCACCCATGTGCCATTCGTTCTCTGCCTGGGAAGTTGGGTAAACAGAAATACACTTTCTCTGTGGCCCTGGGGGCCCATGTAGAATGCGGGGAAGGAGCCGGGCTCCACAACTCAGGGCAGTGTTGGAAGTGTCCTGCCGCTGAGGTCCGGGCCCTCAGAGAAGCCAACTTCCTCACCCCCTGCCCTCACCACCCAGTCCTCTCTTCCTCACCTCCCCACCCTATCCCCATGGGACAACTCTTAGAGAATGGGTAAGGTTTCCCCCCAGGTCCCTAAGTCCATAAACTGGCCACAGGTTGCGCCAGGCAGGCGCCTCCACTCAAGTCCCTATCCTGGAATCCCCCCCCCCCCCCATCCTAGTTGGGATCTTAGTTTGGATCCTCGAGTGGCTCCTGTCTCTGTCACTTTCCCTGAGCTGGTGCCAAAACTCGGCCATTCTCCTGGCGGCGCAGGCACGGGTTCGGCAGGAAGCCGGTAGCGGGAGTTACCTTGAAAGCAGCGAGCAGCAGCGCTCCGTCGGGCGACTGGACCGGCGAGTGGGTGGGTCCGCACCTTAGCTGCACGCGCGGGGCCACGCCGCGTCACGCGACAATCACAGCCGGCCGCAGCAGGCTGGCGGGCTACCCCGCGTCCCGCGCAGCCTGGAGCGGGACGGACCCACTGACCTGCCGCCTGCTAGGGGACCGGTGGGCAGGCGGCGCCCGGCGCGGTGGCGGCTTTGCAGGGAGTGCCACTGCGGCGGAGTCTCGCTGCCCGCTGCCTCACCGCCAGCCTAAGCCCAAGGGCCGCCGCGTGGCTTCTGTCGTCCTTCGACCCCCGCCGCGCCTCGCGGAGGCCGCGACCGCCCTCAGCAGGTTACAGGCGCGCCCGGGAGCGCCGGAGGAGGTGCACGCGGTGTCAACTAGGGGCAGAGGCGGCCTTCATTCACTGAGCCGTTCCCTGCCGCTGCCTCTAGCCAGCGACTGGCCGTCGGGGCGGCGGGTTCTTCGGGTCACAATTGGCGGAAGATGGAGCCGAAGAGGCGAACGAAGGGGGGAGGGGCCCCAACTCTGAACTTCGGGTCGGAACTCTGCGGTCGGTCGGGAGAAGACTGGCCAAAGGCCGACGCACACTGGCGGCCGCGCTGGCTCCCCAGGGCGGACGCGGGCGACCTCGCTATTCCTGGGGGTGGGCGGTTGGGGGGGGGGGGGGAGGCGGGGACGCCCAAGAGAGGGTGCGCGCTATGGCGAGGGCGGGTCGATCCCGCCACGCACTAATGGCCGCCCCCCCGCTGCCTGCTCGGGTCGCGCAGCTTGCCTTGGTCAGCCAAGCTCAGACTTGTAACCCAAACATTTCATCAGCCTAATTGCTGAGCTCCTGGGAGTAAATGGCCACGAGCCGGGACGGCGAGGGAGAGGGTCTGCCCTTTTGCAGGCTTCGCTGAGAGGCCACCTGCATCCGCCACCCTCGCGCCTTGCGGAGCGCCACACCCTCGCTCGGCGCCCCGCCTTGAACCCCTGGGAGGCTGGGCAGACTTGCAGGGGGAAGGAGAGGGTGGGGTGGGAGGGCGCGACCGACTGTCGACAACCTTTTTCCTGGATCCATTCAGTTCACTCCTCGCAGTTTCCCGGTGATTGCGACACCCTCAGGAGGGCAGATTCTCCACATGTTAATCACAGTACTCATTTTTAAGCTCCCCTTTTTATTATTAGTGTTATAACAATCTGCTTCCAATCATCAAGAAAAGACAAGCAGGGATGTGGTGGGCAAGGCGACTTTAATGATCTTTCCCGCCTCTCTTGCCAGGTGTGCACTAGGTATGAGAAACTGCTTCTTCAGGCTCATGCCTCTTGACTGAGGAACCCTGCATTTGAGCCCTGCTCCTAAGTGCAAGGAAATGACTTTAGAATTTTCCAGGATGGCTTAATGGATACACTCCTGTTTTTAAATAGAGAGATTAGCCTAATCAACCTGGCAATTATGCTAATAAATCTGTATAATATGCCAGGGGAGAAAAGTCGCACAGATGACTTTAGCACTCTTTTATAAATATCGGTTTGCTATAGAGGCAGTTGCTTGAGGCAGCACTCCCCTGCTAAGACTTCCTAGAAATTCTGCCTGAAGACAAAAATGCAGCCATCTGTGACAAATGAATGGACTTGAGCAAGTTTATCCTGTAAAGTTACCACGGAGATGCCAGCTAGGTCCCAGCTTCCAGAACAGCCTGTCAGCCTCATACAGAAGTCAGACCTGATGCCTCCTTCAAGGTTGAGACCACCTTTCCCACTTCTCACTGTCTTCTCCTGCTCCTAGTATTCCTGCCAAAGTATGTAATAGCTAATGGGACACTGAGAGGACCCGACCACCTTAAAATGGGAATGGAAACCTCGAGCAGGTCACTTTACCACCTTGGAGCCTCAGTATGCCTCATACATAAAATAGCCATAATAAGATTTTCCTCATAGTATTTTGAAAAGGAATCAGTGGATTGAACTATGCCTGATTCATAATAAGAACTCTGAAAATGTCTGTTTCCCTTCCCCTCTCAAAAGGAAGGAAAGGAAGTCTCAGATGCCCTATTGTAGTCTGTGGCCCATTACCTTGCTGGAGGCAGGAGCAGATCACCAATGGTTAATCAGACTCTGAAGGAAAGGGACGGGCCTCCTGCTTTAGAAACAGACCCTTTTCGCCGGCGCCATGGCTCACTAGGCTAATCCTCCGCCTAGCGGCGCCGGCATACCGGGTTCTAGTCCCGGTCGGGGCGCCAGATTCTGTCCCGGTTGCCCCTCTTCCAGGCCAGCTCTCTGCTGTGGCCAGGGAGTGCAGTGGAGGATGGCCCAAGTCCTTGGGCCCTGCACCCCATGGGAGACCAGGAAAAGCACCTGGCTCCTGACTCCTGCCATCGGATCAGCGCGGTGCGCCGGCCGCAGCGCGCCGGCCATTGGAGGGTGAACCAATGGCAAAAGGAAGACCTTTCTCTCTGTCTCTCTCTCTCACTGTCCACTCTGCCTGTCAAAAAAAAAATTTAAAAAAAAAGAAACAGACCCTTTTACTCTTTGTACAGGGCCTGTCTTGAGCTCATAGTGGAGGCTTTCAAAAACAAAAGCCAGTTCTTACATTCTACATGGAGTGCCAGGCACATCACTGACAATATAGACAAGGATACATATTTTGATTGCTATAATTATTCCTCTTCATCATAATCACCATGATAACATTAATAATAATGTTTGCACCGAGTAACAGCCTCTGCAATGGGGAAGGAGATAATGCTAGGTGCAGAAGGAATAACTCTTTCTAAAATGAGCCTTCTATGCTTTACTCATATGGAAATGTCATCCCTATCACTTTAGTCATAGGCTCTCTCATCCAGCTGCTTGCCTCCCAAAAGGCCCTCACCATAAAGATTACTCATGTTTCAAGTTTCCTAGGGAAAGATAACCATTCAAGAAGAAAGCAAACATTCATTGGATACCTATGTTGGACAACCACCTGGATAGATCCCATGAGTAACCCAGAGACAGACAAGGCCCAGATCCTACTCTCAAGAAACCCTTGTCTATACAAAGAGATTAAAAAAAAAAAGATTTATTTATGTATTTGAAAGGTATACAGAGACAGAAGTACAGACAAAGAGAAATCTTTCATCTGGTGGTTTATCCCCCAAATGGCTATAGCAGGAGCCAGGAGCTTCATCCTGAGTCTCCCACATGGGTGCAGGGGTCCAAATACTTCTTCCAGCTTCCACTACCTTGCCAGGCACATTAACAGGGAGCTAGATCAGAAGTGGAGCAACTGGGACTCGAACCAACACCCATATGGGATGTTGGAGTCCCAGGCAGCAGGTTAACCCGCTATACTATAATGTTGGCCCCTATACAAGGAGATCTTAAAAATAAGCAAAAAATAGGTTCCCTGCCTAGAATCTTCTGCCTTGCATTGTCATTGTTGCAAAGACAATAGAACATTAGACTAACATTTAACAAGCAATTGCCACTACCCACTTTTCTTGCCAAAAGACAAGAAGTTATAGCTGTATCCCCAAGCCTTTCATTACTAATACTCAATAGGGATCCACTGAGTATAGACTTCCCCAGCTATGATAGGTAAAGTTGCTTAATATTTCTAAAGCTGTTGAACACCATAGTTTGCATACCTTTGTTTCTGAACTCCATATGGGCTAGAGAAAAATCCTAGCCATGGCCCTCATCTCTTATTGCACTAATGCCTCCTAAATCTATACCTGGATCTTACAGCTTTCCCTTGCCCTTAAAACTTACACTTTTTGTGATAAGCTGAACAATTTTTCTTCAAAGACGTCCATGTCCTAATCCCCAGGACTTGTGAATGTATTACCTTACATGGCAAAAGGAATATGCAGATATGATTACATTTGGGAATTTTAAGTGTAGAAATTATCCTGGATTTTCCAGTTGATCCCTAAATACAATCTCATGTTTCATTATAGGAAAGAGACAGAGGAAGATTCATTCTACACAAACACAGCAGAAAAGGTGATGGTGAGATGGAGCAGAGACTTTTTTTTAACAAAGCAATATTTATTTAAGTCAAAAACCTCCAGCTGCAGCAGTCAGAAGGGGGTCTCCAAGTGAGGAAGACCCCAGAAATTGGTGGAAGTTGAGTCTTGTAAACATAATTCAGGGAATAATCAATCAAATGGCAGGGGACAAAACCCATAACCTGCTAATGATAAAACAAAAAAGCCATCAGAAGGGTGGGATAGGTAATTTCTTTCTATTCTCATGATAAAACTAGAAACTCAGAAGGCTGGGATCGAAATTTTTGTCTTGCTAAATGCAGCTTCTGGGAGAAGCATGCATCTTGTTCACTCTTAAAAGGACCCTCCCTGTTCTCATCCCAACAGGGATCTGACCTAACTACCTATCAGCCAAATAACTGTCACCTCCCCCTTCCCAAAAGAATGGACCCCAACTGCTGTTAGGGATATGGGTGTGATGACTGTTCTGGCTGCTTCATGCTAAAAGGGGGTATCATTGAAGGACAGCAGTAGAGTATTACTCTGAGAGTTGATCTAAGGGTCCTTGGTAGATGCAGATTTCCTCAAAGGCATTATCAAGTACCACCTGGTGTTTGAAGGCTTCTAGTTGTTTAGTCCCATCCAGTGGCGAGGAGATCTGATGATGGTTGGAATTGAATTTTTAACTGGATCTGAGTCACGCTGGAGCTGTATCTGATATCTGAGTCATGGCACCAAGCTGTGGTAGGTAAATAGAAGAATTTACAGGCCAGATATAGATTTGAAGATGCTAACCTTAAAGATTGAGCTGATGAGGCCACAAGCTAAGGAATGTGAACTGTCATCTGAGTGGGAAGAGGGGAGAAATGGAATCTCCTCCATAGTCCCCAGAGGGAAAACCCCTTCCAATACCTTGATCCTAGCTCCATAAGGCTAATTTTGGACTTCTAACCTCCAGAACTGTAAGAGAATGAATTTGCATTGTTTTAAGTCACTAATTTTCTGGTAAGTTGTTACAGCACTCCTAGAAAATAGATACATTTTTATTGTAGTCATACATAATGTTATTCCATCTAGTTTGTCTTCTGTGTCCTTGCCACAACTCCTTACAAGATTATAAGCCTCAATGCCCAACAAAGGACCTTTATTAACATTAAATAGGCATTCAGTAAATGCCTACCTCCTGAAAAATTGAGTAAATGAACTGATGCCATTAATTAGCAAAGTGATCAGGGGGGTTATGTGGAAAGATAGTACTTAGCTCATTGTTACATGGCTGACATATCTCCATAGGGCTCTGGGTTCTGCTGGTGTATTTCACCTATACAAAGAATAATACAGGATAAAGTGTTTGGCCTAGCAGTTGTGGTGCTTCATCCCATATTGGAGTTCCTGGGTTCACGTGCAGTCTCTAATCCTAATTCCAGCTTCCTGGTAATGTAAACCTGGGAGGAAACAGGTGATGATTCAAGTACATAAATCTCTGCCACCCACATGGGAGAACTGGATTGAGTTCCCAGTTCCTGGCTTTGGTCCAGCCCAGACCTGACCCTTACAGGCATTTGGGGAGTGAGCTAGTAGATTGGAGCTTTATGTATCAAATAAATGAATG